GAAAAGAAAAAATCAGAAATCTCCGAATCTTACCCTGTACAGCAGTTCCACTTAGATGATTCCTACCACTGTTCTCTGTGAAGTATTCATGGTTAGTCTCCCTTGATGCATTGATCTGCTCCATCATATTACAATGCAGAAGTTTCGTAATGTAAGATATAATCTGTGGGGGAATTCCATCCGTGTTCTCCCACAGAACAGACCATATGAAATCTAGAAAGCATTTCTCATCACATATTGCTTTTGCAGTTCTGAACTTTCTGCTTTTGGCTAAAAAAAATGAAATTCTGATTTTTTAATGTGTGGTTTTTATTTTTCAGATAAAAGGAACTTCTTTCTAGCAAACCCACATATTTATTGGGGAAAAAAAAAAGACTTGTAAATAGCAAAACAAAATTTCTAATAAAATGTAGTTGAATGAGAATATAAGCCATAAGAGTTAGTTGCTGAAAGTATACGTTAGAGATAACCTTGAGTTTGTGCATGGAAATATTTAAAAATGTGTATTCTCAGTATTCTGACATTTATTTACTTACCACCAAATAAGCAAATCATGGTTCTATAAAAGAGGCCTAAATATGGTGAGTAGGATTTGACTATTAACGGTGTCTATAAATGTTGAGAAAACAAATAATAAGAGTATAGGTATAAAGCTGGATAGACTGCAGTTCTTAACCACCACTGTAGACTTTGTTACTGGATGTAATTTCCATACAGCTCTGTTGGTACATATAACATTAAAACATTTGACTTTTCTGTACCAGCAATGTCAGTATAAYCTAGCTTGATCATTCAGGTTTCTACTAATGAGATTTGGCTTTAATACTCCATTTAATACTCCATAATACTCCAGTGTTCTCTCTACAAGATATGCCTGACACAATATTTTTATAGTAAATACATCTAACACAAAAYCCTGTGTTTTGAACGGTGAAACAGCTGTATATGATGAACTGAAGTAACAAACAGTGCTGGACTACATTTGACTTTTTCTAGCATGTGTAAATATTTATTGTTTGGCTTTGTGCTTTTTCTTCTAGRCATTACCCAAAGCAGTCCTTCACTACAGTGGCTGACACACCAGAAAATCTTCGCCTGAAGCAACAAAGTGAATTGCAAAGTCAGGTAGGTCAAATAGCTCTTGTATCTCATTAATATTAAATTATCAAGTCCACTTTTCTCATGGCTTTTCACACTAGTATTAATTTTTTTTCATGCTAATATTCAGTAACGTTATAATTTATTTGGAAAAATTCTTTAGAGGTTGGAATAGTACTGCAGAACTCAGAAGTTGATATCTGATCTCACAGAAGTTATCAGACTATTGTAACTGCATTGACATCACTGACATGATCCTTCATTTGCAACAGTATATGAAGTACATTTKTAAGGAGTTTTTAGTATCTGAAATAATACAGCTGAAACCAGGGCATTCTCATGCCCTAGGCAACTGCTGTTTTGAGCTTGTATTAACTTATTAATAGTAATAGCAAACTAGTTGTGTGATCAGCAAACAATTAATTTGTGATTAGCAAACATCTAGATGCCTTTGGTATTTGTCATCACTAAGCTTGACTGAATGACAAAGTTGGAGCTGCTCTGTGATTCTGTGATGTCCCACATGAGTCAAACAAAATTTACCTTGGGTAGTATGATAGGCATTGATATTGAAAAGTTATATGGTTAAAAAAAAAATGGTGGTGAAGTCTCATATGCCCAAAATATGCATGTTTTCTTACTGTTGTTGWTCAGTAGTCTACAACATACAGTTTTGCTTGACATTATCTTCTTAGTAAGTGGATTTTTCCCTTAAATACTGGTCTTCTACTGTATGATTTTCTACAGCAYTGGAAATAGGCCTGGTTGCATGAGGCAATAGATCATATGTGATTCCATTTTATTTTGTGGAAGGTGGTTTGTTCCTGTTGTGGTTTTATTCTGTTGCACTGGAATTTAATTGAAAACCTCTAATTATGAATTGATAATTGTCATTGTCAATTAATGTAATAAAAGCCTTGAGCACAAAACTGGCAGTAGGCACCATTTTTTTTTTTTTGGCAACTTCTTTGTAGATGAATGGGTGAAATCAAAGTAAGAAACGCAGACACAAATATTTACTGTGGTACACATTTGTAAGGCTCTTTATCTTTTCCCATTGTGGTTATTGATCATAAAAAATCAGGAGAAAAAAAAATCTTATGACCATTTCATCGATTCTTCACCAGATTGTCTTGTGCACCCATGGCTCCATACACACACACAGGCCTGGGGGTATGCATGCACACACACTCATACAAATCCTGGGTGAAAATGAAAAGCCATCTGCCATGTAGGTAGTCCATGGCTACTTCTATGTGCTTTTCCCCAAGTCTGGTATACCCTGTGTGAGATTGCCTGCTAGGACTTTATAAAGTTCCAGTTACGTGAGTGAACTAGTCTAATTTTATGACCCATCTGTGATGTAAATGCCATTGCTTGTCTTAAGAGAGGGAGACAGAGAGGAGAAGGACTTTCTTCTGCTATATGAGCTGCCTCTGACACTCACAATGAAAAAGCTGAAACAAAAGTTTTGAACCTTACCTGAATGTTCACAATCCATGCTTAAACCCTAAATCTTAACTTACAAAGCACTGAGAGAAGCCTATAGAGCCGTATTTTTTAATATACTTGCAAAAGACAGATTTTAGTAAGACTGTTTTCTGTAGGCAGGTAAGAAAGGTATTGGAGGTGGGGGAAGAATGTGATGGGCTCAGTAGATCTGCAGTTTAGCTCCCATATTCCAAACTCATCTCCATCAGCTGTCTGTCTTGCTGATGTTTAATAAGCCAAGGGAGATTGTCTCTTTCTAGAGCCCCTGAGAGAAATCCCTTTCCTTGTGTTATCTGAAAGACATAGCAGTTAGGTTAAGGAAACTTGCTCTGCTATTGTTTTCACTCTATAAAAAGAGGACTTCTAAGGATTCCAAGGTTCTAAGGATAATAGTTTTCACCTCTAAAGAGAACTTGTTTTCTGGATCAATCTTATTGGCCATTATTATATCATAATCTTTGCAAGACTTCCAATTCAAACAAATCATCTATAATTTGCTGCTTKCCAAGTCTCATTCTATTGCGGTGCTGTGCAATGGAAAAAAAGCATGTACATGGTTCAAGGAAAGCCCTTCATGTGAAACTAAGCTTCGCTAGTTAGAAACATGTTACTACTACCATCCAATATTCATTCAGAGTAGCTTGAATCTCTGCCAATGCAGTGACAATTTGGAATTGAACTGATTCTGTGTTATGCAGCTTAAAAAACTATTAACTTCTGAGTAGGGAGCAATAGCTGCATTCTAGTTTCTAAGTAAACATCTATAATGCTTTTAATTCTAAAGAGACACAATTGTGTGTTTAACTGCAGGACTCCAAGACTCTTTTAAAAATGCATAGCTTTAGAGCTACAATCTTAGCACAGCAGGGAGAATTGGTAAAAAAAAATCATAAAATATTATATAATCTAAAAGATGTGTGTTTTTCTAAACCTGTTTTGCTTTTGCTTTTCATTTAAATAGTGACTGACAGCATTTTAACTCCAAGTGTTGGATTCTCTATCAAGAATCCATTAAGGTCAGCATCAGGTGCCAACCTGTCATGTTGACATAACAYGACAAGAGCAAAACAAACAAAACCAAAATGCTGTTTCCTGGAGGAGTCAATAGAAAATGGATTGCTCTTTACAATACTTGAAAAATTATGTTAAGAAGGCAAACGGCACCATTTAAAAGCTTTCCAAATMATTTTCTCTGTCTGCATAATATAATTTCATCATCTTTAAATTTTACAGTTTGAAGGAGACACAAATGCATTTTAGGACATGCGGGAAATTCAGTTTTTCCATGCTGGAAAACTCCCCAGTTCAATGTGCCTCCTCGCTGAAGGAAAAAGGAATTTTGAGATTCATGTACATAAGGAACATAGACAAGAATCCAGACACCATTTTTCTTTATGCTTTTCTGAAGGAAAATCCTTGACTTTAATTTGCTGGAGCTTAATGCATTTTCTTATTCCACAGCGTACAATGGATGCTTTCTGCATGCATGTCTCTCCCTTAAATGAGCTCAAATACAGAAGATGTCAATAAGTTTCTCTCAGTTATTTTGTTTCCTTGGGAATCATCTTCATGTACCTTCTTTGGTTTGTCTTAGAAAGCTAGAGCAACCAATGGCTAAAAGTACAAATTGTTCTATGGCTGTTAGTTCTTGTCTGTGGCTGTGTCATGTAAATCAACTAAATACTTGATTAAGTTATTCATGAAATTTTTGTTGATACTGAAGGTGTTAGCAGACAATACAAAAAGGGTGGAAGGGGTGGTTGACACACCAGCTGGTTGAGCATCGTTCATAGGGACCTTGTCAGGCTGGAGAAGTGGGCTGGGAGGACTCTCCCAAGGTTCAAGCAAGGGAAATGCCGAGTCCTGYGCCTGTGGAGGAGTGGCCACATGAACTGGTACCTGTTGGGGTCGACCACCTGGAAAGCAGGTTTGCAGAGAAGGTCCTGAGGATGGTGATGGACAAGCTGAAGACAAGGTGTGCATGTGGAAAGGCAATCCTCAGTTTTCCAGGCTGTGTTAGGGAGAACATTGGCAGGAAGTTGGGAGGTGATGCTTCCTGTCTGCTCRGCTCTGGTGAGGCCACCTCTGGAGTGCTGCATGTCTTTGCTGGTCTTTGCAGTGTGTGAAAGACAGGGACATATRGAAGCAAGTTAGTCAGTAGTCACCAGAACACTAAATAAAATGTGATGCAGTGCATAGTAGCAGTAGCTCACAAACACCCTGGAAGACAGATAGGGAGCTGCTCTGTGGAATATATTGACTTATTTTCCTGTTACTGACACCTTTGTAGTGTCTGGAAATTGTTTTGATTTCACAGATGGAATTACAAATCTACAGGTGAAATATAGAGCTTGATTTTTAATTTCTTTTTGAAGGGATAAAGAAAAATGGCTTGTTTGAACTCTGTGTTAAATTGTTAAGACCAATTTTCAGGTCTTCTGGTTTCTGGGGCTGGCTGTACATTATAGTTTTTTTTTCTTTTTAATATTATTGATCTTTTCCATTATACATGATTTTAAAAATAATTTCCAATCCTGGTTTGTTGATCAGTGTAACAAAAGGTGCTTATGTGAGGGGGGTTGGGATAGTAGGGTTTTTTCCCCCATTATTTATTAAAATATCTTGTTTTTTCTTCATATGTTGCAAAACGGCCAACCTTCCTCTCCTTTTCTTTTGTATTGGGTTATGCCTTTAAAATCAGTAGYATAAGCTATGTGGGTAAGATCAGTCAATTCTCTTCCTTTTTTTGTGAACTTTTGTTACTATRTTTCTGTTATATTACATTATATCAGCACAATTACAGTTTTCAGTGCGTGAACAAGTGAAGGATTATAGATCATTCATATAATACTATTTTTCCGTATCTTTGTTTCCTTGTGAAAAAATCTGCAAAGATCATGGAAAGTCCACATTGGGAAGCAAACATGAATACCCACCCAACACTGAGAGGAAACTTGAGATAGACTCAAGAGCAGATATGGAAACTGTCCACCACCCATCTAACCTAAATTGTCACTCCTGCTTTGATGGGAAAAAAGTGAAAGTGCCAGCATTTTTTTTTTCTATATTAGTGCCTGAATTTTTGCTAATATCATTAGTGATTTGAAAACGTGATGTAACTTGGTAGGGAAAAACCTACATTTAAACTAACCTGCACTTAAGAAAGCACAGTAGTATCTGCAGAGACTCAGAGGCAAGCAGGGCAAACTGTTCTGGCTGGCCATAGAATTATGAAGTCTATAAAATCCACAATAGCAGGAGAAAAAAAACACTTCTCCCTGTGCCAAGACTGAAAAGCAGAATGAAAAAAAATCTGTATATAATGAGAGCTCTCTTTCTAGTATATGTTGATGTGAAAATAATTATGCAACTTCTGTTTTCTATTTCTGGATGTATTAAATATTTAACTATAAAAAGTGAAAAGATTATACAGTTATGTGAAACATAGGYATTTTTGTGCTAGGAGGAGAGACAATGTGGTCATGATTATTAAATAATTTATTGACCCAAACCATTTTTATGCACTTGCTTCTGAC